AAAAAAAAAAAAAAAAAAAAACCTGGCGCGGCATGTGCGAGTGTTTATGTTGGATTCTGGCTTCGGCTGTCACATGTTTGTGAACTTCGAAATATGCCATTTCTTTTCCCTTTCCCCGGATTGACATTATTTATAAGAATGCTTCATATGGCTATCTCTCTCTCTCTGATTTTAGCTTCACCTGTATCAGATATGTTTGTGAACTTTCGCCTTATTAACATTATTTATAAGAATGTTTTGTATGGCTTTTGCTTTGAAGATTGTTGGTCGCCAGGAAAATACTGGTGTACAAGAATAGGAATAAGTTATGACATTACTGAATCCACCATGTCAACTGATCTTCACTTGCTCCACAGTATTCTTCAGAAAACTGTGCTCAGTAACACCAATGACAACTTTGAAGACTCTTACTTCTTATGCCTATTGTGATTTCGAACGTCAATTGTTGTTGCTATGCGATAGATGGCTTGTTTGCATGGATGTGGATGGACAATACCCCTATAACCTATAGGAAGTTTTCTCCTCATATTCTTTGAGAAAAAATGATTTGAAGATTATTTGTGACAAGCTTATTGCAACGAATTTCCTTGGTGCTTTTGGCGACGAAATTTTTTGTCTAAACTTCTTGCAGTGACAAGGTTATGGATTTGATTTTTTTTTTTTTTGGGCTAAACTATGAATTTCCTTTTCGACTTGCATCGAAGGAACATTTGAAAGAAATTAGATAGCACATTGCTTCATTAAAACAAAACAAAATTGAAAAAGAAATAAAGAAAATTGAAAATTGTAGAAATTAAATAGCACGGCTATATTTTACTCTTTTTTGGTAAGGAATTTTCTCCAAGGCTGAGAGTTACATTGTACTCGTACCTATTGAGTAAATCACGAAAAACTACAATTACCTGAAATTAGAGGTGGTAATTTTAACACATTATTTATTAATTCATTTAATCCATTCATAAATAAATGGGATGAATACCTATATTAAATAATACGAATTTTAAATGGATTGAGTAATGTGATTCATTTCAATTAAACGGGTTAATATAAATTATAAATGGGTATCCATTGAGTTGAGTATTTATCTTTATGTTAAATAACACAAGTAATAAAATTAAATAAATATATTAATATATCAAAAAATGCATACACTAATATACTAAAAAATACACACATATACACTAATACACAAAAACACATACACTAATACACCACCCATGACTCACAGATCAACCCATGACTCGCAACCCAAGGATTGACCAGTGACCCATGGGCGTGGACTGACCTATGGCCCGCAATCAACCTCGAGCCATTATGTGTGTGCACTTTTTTTATTAAATATTTTTTAATTTTTGTATTAATATGTGTGCGTATTTTTAGTATATTAGTGTGTATTTTAGTTTATTTGTGTACGTATTTTTAGTGTATTAGTTTGTGTATTTTGGTGTATTAGTGTGTGTGTGTGTGTATATTTGTATTTTGGTGTACTGCTAATGTGTGTGTGTTTTAGTGTACTAATGTGTGTCTATTAAAAATTTTAATTATTTTATGAGTTAATAAATTTAATCTAATCCGTTATAAACTCAACACATTATAACCCATTTAATACGTTAGTGAAAAATTAATTGGATTTATTTTAATACATTATTCATTAATTCATCTAACCCATTCATAAATAAATATGATGGGTACCTATATTAATTAATACGGGTTTTAAATAGGTTGAGTAATATGAGTCATTTTAATTAAACGGGTTAATATTAAATGGGTATCTATTGAGTTGAGTATTTATATTTATATTAAATAACCCAAGTAATAATATTAAATAAATATATTAATATACCAAAAAATATATACACTAATACGCTAAAAATATACACATATATATTAGCACACAAAAACACACACACACTAATACATCACCCAGGACTTGCAGGTTGACCCATGACCCCGCAATCGACCCATACCCACGGGTTGACTCGTGACATACGATCCATGACTCACAGATTAACCCACGACTCGTGGCCCAAGGATTGACCGGTGACCGATGGGCGTGGACCGATGTTGTGGCCCACAATCGACCCCGACCCATTTTGTGTGTGTATTTTTTTATTAAATGTGTTTTAGTGTTTTGTATTAGTATGTGTGAGTATTTTTAGTGTATTAGTGTATGTTTTAGTTTATTAGTGTATGTAGTTTTAGTGTATTAGTTTGTGTGTTTTGGTGTATTAGTGTGTGTGTGTGTATTTGCATTTTTGTGTATTGCTAATGTGTGTGTGTTTTAGTGTACTAATGTGTGTCTATTAAAAATTTTAATTATTTTATGGGTTAATGAATTTACTTCAATCCATTATAAACTCAATCCATTATAACTCATTTATTACGTTAGTGAAAAATTGATTGGATTTACTTTAACCCAACTCATAACCAACCCAACTCACCCATTTGTAACCTCTACCTGTAATCCAACAAATATTAGTAACCCTCGAAGTTACCGGAGAAAATCGAACCATAGACTCTCAACTTATTCATTTTGCATCAGGATAACGAACAACATGCTTAATATTACTATGCTTCAGATAATTCAAGTGAACCAAATTTTGGAAAATAAGTTTTTTAACCAACAAAGGATCTTTGTAATCAAGAACTTTGTCCGCTCTCAAAACATATGGTTTTGGAGTTGGTTTTGAAGGATTCTTTGAATTGGTAAGCTCCGTTTGGATACCGGTAATTCTAATTAAAAATGGGTATTTCATTCCTAGAAAAGTGATACCCGAATTTCAAATATCGTAATTTTTATTATTTAGTATTTGGTTTCATCAATATTCTATTATATGAATGAATATATATTCCATTAGGATTAAGGAACTTGATTTTAGGAAGGACGCTTGACTTTATGAATGAACTAAATTTTGGAAAAGAGTCTGATTTTGAATTTTTTTTTCTTTTTTAGAATAACCAATTAAGTTGGGTTTGAGATTACAACCATTGATGATGAGTTTAAGATTCCCATCATTATTGAGAATTTAGTTCCACTATTCCCAATGTAAATTACCCATTCATTAACTACCCAAGCATAGTTGTCTATGAATTTAGGAATCCAATTACCATTCCCAACCAAATTTTCTGGTGTCATTCAAACTGGACCTTAATGTATAGTGTTACGGATCCCTAATCCAAATGGAGTTTACCCAGTAGATTCTGCAGGAGATACATTTAGAGTAGATGCTCCTGTTGTTGATTGGAAGCATTTGGTTTGGCTTAGCAACTCTATTCCTTGATGGAGCTTTATTTTGTGGCTGGCAATCAGGAAAAGGTTGAATACAATGGACAGAATTCAGGCTAACAACCAAAATGTAAATCCTGAGTGTTGTCTATGCAATAATGTTGTTGAAGATCATGACCACCTATCTATTCTTTCAGTGCTCTTTCTCTTATAATATCTAGAATTTGGTTATGGACAAATGTGTTTCTACTTTACATTTCACCACTTGGGATTCTTTAATACACAGAGCTGCAGCTGTATCGCTAGGCAATGCTGTGATGAATTACATTGCTAGAATATGCTTATCTGCTTCAGTATACTATCTGTGGTAAGAAAAGAATTCAAGGAAATTTTGCAACAAATCTAAGACTTTGCTACTGTATTCACTACAACAAAGGAAAATGTTAGATGTAGATTTATGTGTATTAAAGTCCTGATTCTTCTATCAACAACCATATTGCTGCTACATGGAACATATGAACCTAATACCTTATGGGGATTTAGAAGTATTCATTAGAAAGAGAAAATAACTTGGACTACTTTTGTTTGAGATGTTCAGGGGTGATGCGTTTGGTAATAAATAAGCTTGCTAAGATTTCAGCTTATGCTATTTTACTCCAAGGGTTTTTTTTTTTTTTTTTTTGGGTTTTCCCCTTGCTTTTTTTACACTAATTCTTCTTATGAATGAAATTAGTTGATTT